TTCTGTGTAGGAGCCATTGATGGTACTTTTAAGTTTATCATGCTATAGGCATTAATGCACCCCCATACCATCAGAAAGGCAGGTTTTTGAACTTTGAGATGTGAGCTGACAACAGGCTTGGACGCACATTCTCCTCTTTAGAACATCCGATGTGGCATCCATGGTTGTAAAAACAGCTAATTTCAAATTTAGATTCGTCTTACCGCAGAACCGTTTGTATCGATTTGTCCTGTAGAATGTGACATCATGTCTGGATGGTGTTCAGCGTCACAGCTTTAATAAGCATTTATAAATAACACAGCTAACGGTGTTTACAGGCAATGGTTTGTGGAAGTTTGTCTGAATCCAGAGCAGAATCAGACCTGTTTCTAATGCAGTGGCCCCCTGAGGGCCCAAAGATCCTCCAGTGTTGACTTTCAAACCTTGTTCTTTGAGCTCGGAGATTACAGATGATTGAAATCTTCTGATCATATGAACCGTAGATAATGAGATATTCAGTCTCTTCAGTGCCTTTGAAGCACATTATTCTGAAACTGTTCCACTATTTTTAGGCACAACTTCATGCAGACTGGTGAACCTCTGCCCATCTTTACTTACGAGACACTCAGCCTCTCTGAAATGCTCTTATGACCAGCCATCTTACACACCTGTTACCAATTAACCTAATTAGTTGCAAAATGCTCCTCCAGATGTTTCTTATCCGTATCAATTATCTTTACAGCTATTTAATGCGCTTTCCCAACTTTTTAAAGATGCCATCAAATTCAAAATTACTTTTTGTTTCTCTAACCTATTGATACAAATTCTTAGTTTAAACAATTATTGTGTTTATTTTGGTCATGGAATTGACCAAAATTAATTGAATTTCATTTCATCTGGTAAATAAAATCCAAATTTATGAGATTTGCAAATAATTTCGTTTTGTTTTTATCTATATTTTTCATAATATCCGATCTGTTTCAGGATTGGTTTTGTAAAGCAGGTGTAATAGACACAGGTGTCTGAGGTTTAACAAATGAATAATTCCAGAAGAACCTGCAGCTCTGTCCTAAAAGAGCCTGATAAGTTGCTGCTAAGTCTATCCCTCATTCCCCTTTCAATTCCACTCCTTGACGTGTTTTCTCATCTCTTAAACGCTGTCAGGCGTCTCAGACCTAATTACTCTCTTTGACTGACATGATAATGTAAAACAGTGCTTAGGTGAAACCAAAGCAAGAATTGGTCATGCATGGTCAGGCCTCCCTGTGGGCACACCTTAATCAAATGTGACACGCTTCTGAATGAGAGCCAGAACCATTTTTGGACCCAAATAATGAACCGCTGCCTGGGATTCAATGATGAGCTACACGGCCTGGGTCAGCATCCTGACAGGAATTTCATGTTTCATCATCGGCGACTCGGTCTGCGAGTAGTTTGTGCTTCTCCTGTTTAACAGTTTTCTGTAGATTGAATTTCACAAACGTTCGCCTCATCCCAGTTTCAACTAGGCCTGTCGCGATGAACAATAAATCAATTAATCGCATGAAAAATTAAAATTATCGACCTCATTTTCATTTATCGGCTTTATGGTTCCTTAGTGTTTCTCTCTCTTTCAAATTCATTTTAACCGTCCAAAATCGCGTTTTTGGATCGTTAAAAGCAGCTAAGCTGAGAAGCTAAGCTACGAGCTAAGCTAACAGGCCGACCTCGGGGAAAAAAACCTCCGTCTTGTCGAAGCGCCAAAGTTCGCAGTTGAAACCCGTGCCTTCGTGTAAAAAGTTGTTTTTCTCTGAGAACTTGTTTGCTGATTTCTTATTAAAAGCTTTGTGTGAAAAATATGCTAAAGAGCTCAAACCACACCGAGCGTCCGCCATTTTGAGAACCGAACAAAAGTAAAGAGAGACAGCCCATGTCACGTCAAGGCGCACCTCTCTCCCATTTTTCTTAAAGAGACACGCTGCACGTTCCCTCACTATCCATCCTTCAGTTCAAACGGTCTTATATTGCCATACAGTGGTCAAAAAAGGTACTACACACAAGAATTGACAATAATCACAAATTATTGTAAAATTTCAAACGATATTATCGTTTATCGCAATAGTTTCTGATACAATTAATCGCCCAGCAAAATTTGTTATCGTGACAGGCCTAGTTTCAACATTGCTTCTCTCACTGACCAACAGCAAAACACAATAACATTTTTTGCATCCCCATATTTCATCCATAAATGCACTTAAACTCAACGCCTCATTAAAAGGAAAGTTTTAAAAAAAGGCTTATACAGATAAACAACATCAAAGAATGGTGAATGGTAGTGTGTGGGCTTGCATCTGTGGACTTACACATTTATTCAAGCGTATGATTGCACAAATACAGTGGATAAGCACAAGTGAACACAATAGGCCTCCGAGATCGTATACATTCCTAATGCAAATCAGAATATGTCCGTTAGAAGGCTGCTCGCCTGCTAAATTGGCTCACGCTTCTGTGCCAAAGACTGTCTGCAATTAAACCCCAACCATATTGAGAAAATGGCAACACAGATTCTACCTGTGTCAATCAATTCTCTATGGCTGGGGAGCCAATCATGACACACCACTCTGTCTCTGGTACACTCTGCTCTCTAAAGGTTGTATTACCGGCAGCCAGTCACTTGAGAATTATGTAATTGGGAAGCAAACTGGACAGTGTATTCCTGCTCACTTGGTACTCACACCACGGATGATATCATTACAAAGTGCTCCTCTCATCAGATCCTCTCCTACCATTACGCTTCCAGTTTTAGTCACGACATGTGTTCTTTCTTCTGCACTGCTACGTGTGGAGCTAAGCTTGGATGCAATCTGAGAAGATGACCACCCGTTCTCAGCAGGTAAATAGACTAGAAGTTTATTTAAACGGGGACGATGCAGTTTAACACACGCACAGAATGCAACGGATGTGCTGTACAAAGAGCGTTCTTCATGCTTCTTGGGTTTTTACATGAAGAGCATACTCAGCAAAGTAATAATCAAGTAACCAACGAGATAAGACTATTACACCATATAACAAAATACTTAGTCAGCACACTAACTTTTAAATCATAAACATATTAAAACTACATTAAACAAGCAGTGTGTTGATGACCCCCATCGCTGAGTGAATTGAACAGTGAATGTTTGTAGTTTTCAAGATGAGAATGAGATGTTTCAAGTTTTTCTGTACATATTTATTTATTTATTTAGAGGTTGTTGTTTTTATTGTTTGTTTTACTTTTTTTTTTAACTTGCCTGAGGCAGGAGTGACGGATTCTGGAGAGTGCAGAAAGCAATTTGATTTTAATTTCAATTCAGTTTATTCATATAGCACCAAACTGCAGCAGAAGTCATCTCAGGGCACTGAACAGAAGCATGCACATACATAAAAAGTCAGTTAATAAAGCTATTTATCTACGGTTTAATAATCAGTTTCAATCTATTTTATCCACGAGCAGGTGCAATGGCGGAGCCATGGGGTGGTCAATGGTGGCATAGGCCACCACAGATTAATCTTCAGTCACCCCAAAGCCCACCCCAGTCATTTGAGAAAAAATATACCTTTAAGCAATATTAAAAACTACAAAGCATAGCTTCCTCAATTGATTGGGGTGGTCAGTTTACATTTATCTATGGCGGGGGCCATTTTTGACATGGCAACCCAATTTTTAATAGTGACCTTTCTTGCACCTAGATGTAGGCATACGCCAAAATAGAAGTCACTTATTGTTGAAGTTATCATGCTCACAAAATGTACGGATGGATGGATGGATGGATGGATGGATGGATGGATGGATGGATGGATGGATGGATGGATGGATGGATGGATGGATGGATGGATGGATGGATGGATGGATGGATGGATGGATGGATGGATGGATGGATGGATGGATGGATGGATGGATGGATGGATGGATGGATGGATGGATGGATGGATGGTACGGGAACAACAACATCTCAGTACAGTCAATTAGATGCAACCCCTCACCTAAAAAGATACGCCCCACATCAGGACATGAAGGTTTTTTGGATACAATTTATACAACAAGTGTTGTTTAAAGTTTAGTTAGACGTTAAAGCAGATGAGTTATAGTTTTACTAATTACTTAAAAAAAAAAAAATACATTTAATTTACCCAACATAGCAGAGTGAAGCCAAGTTTAAAAAGTTAGAAACTACCTAACTTAATTACTTAAAACAATGCAAAATAGTGCAAACGTGGCAAATCTTTGAGAAATTGCATATATAAATATTTATTAGGCCTTAACAGATTTAACCGAGTTAAACTAATGTCAAATCTGTTAACGTTTAACGATGTTTCGAGCAATTACAAGTGTAAAAACTGGCAGACACAACAGATGATTTAAAGATTTAGCTGCTGTAACTTTACCTCAAAAATATTAGTTATAATCTACCCAAGTAAAATTATTGTTACACCCATTTTACAGGTAAAAGTTGTACAGCTTAAATGTTTTACAGTGCGACTCTTCGTGGGGAGGGCGAACGCTCCAACTGTAGTTCTTCTGTGAAGTGTTTTCATGATTATCATATCTTTGGATGTATCTTGAATGAGGTTCAGGGCCTCGGCTATGAGAATTAATTTGAGAAAACACGGATGAGGGGAACATCAAAGGAACAACGCCTGCTTCTGTGCTTTCTTCTGTTTGTGTCTGAGTGTGGAGAAAAACGAAGCTTCGGGGGAAACTGTGTCACGCTTGGACCTGTAACGTGTGCGCGCTGAGCCTCGGGCCCACGTGCAAGTCACACACATTCCTCAAAAACAACAGACATTCCACAGAGGGAGGTGGGAGCGTCCCGTGTGGTTAATAACGCTCCCCTGCTCCCCCTTTTTCATAATACAGTGAAGAAGAAAAAGGAGAACGACAAAAAAAGCCTCAAGTCAACAGAGAAAGCAGCGCCACCGGAGGCAGAAAGAGGGGGGTCGAGGGGGTCAGGGGCCCGAGGAGAGACACCGAGAAATAAATGAGCAGGAATAGATGTGCTTACCGTTGACAATGTTGCTGTGAACCGCAGCTGTGAATAGTACAGTCAATAAGCTGACGATCCATAGCGCAGAGGGGGCTGATGGGAAGGCCATGGTGGGGGCGCACGGATCCGCCTGGCTCTCTGAATGCTCAGGAGGGCAGATGAGCTCTGGAGTGTCACCTGCAGGGAAAACAATGGAGAGCTAAAGAAAACAAGCCGGGCAGGCCAACTGACCCCTAATTGCATCCCCCACTGCTGAATAAAGGCTTGGCCCAACCGTTCCTCATGCTCTGCTCAGGGGGGTGGTATCGATCTGCTTAGGTCTTAAGCAGTGGCGTTTATAGGGGGTGGCACAAAGTGGCAGCTGCCTCTGTAAATAATAAATCCGAACACCCCAGCTTATTGGCTACTTAATATATATGTGTATTTTGTGCCAAACCGAGAGTCAAATCTGCTCAGGGCCTGAATTCACCTGTTTAGAGCTCACACCCCCCTCGAGTTTCAAAATGGTTTCACCCAACAGGGTTAGGACCGCGCTAATTAAGTGACAATGGTGAACGCAAGTTTGAGTTCAATTACCAGAGCTCCTTAACTTCTGAAGCGTAATTTTAATCGGAATCTGAACAAATCATGTGGAAAAACACGTGCGACTTATTTATGTATTTAAAAAAAATAAAATCAAAGTTGGCCCTCCAACAGAAGTAGAGTTTTAAGTTTGGTCCCATGCGATAATGAATTTAACGCCTGTTCTGCACCGCAATTCTAAAACGTCACACGAACGTTTAGGGAGAAAAATGTAGATCAATTTTTCATTTGAAAATATATATATTCAATACTTTGGTGAATGAATACCAGGAAAAAACGCTGACTGTGAGTTTTTACCCAGCCTGGGGAAAAGTGAAGAGGCTGACAAACACTTAGTTAAACATTGTTTCACATTCACTCCTGTGACCCAGAGCTGGGTGAAATGTGACCCGAGCCAACTCAGAGCCCGTCTGATTGGCTCATCAGTTTGGAAGTTCGTGACAAAACAAAACGAGTTAAATGACTTCGTTGTTGAAGTAGAGCAACTACGCCTAAAATGTCGGTTAGATCATTACAACACGTTGGTGTTAGCTGGTGCTAATTGCTATTAAAATCAACTAGCCAGCACAATCTAGCATCATTTATCCAGAATCACTATCTGGTGCAAAGTAAAGTGTGAAGAACAGGCACAGTTCAACTCTGACCCAAACATCGAGTCAAACGTCTTGTTTGACCAAACCAACCCGAGACCCAACAGCTGCAACCCAAACGAGTTATCAACATAACCCAGCAGTTTTTAGTGTGTGGAAGACAAACGAGCTGAATGCATGCAAGTCCAAAAGAAAACTTTCCCTGCAACTGTAAACTCTAACACCCCCCCACCCAAAGTGCCCCACCTTTGCCATCTTAGGAAACAGGGAGGGCACAGATGGGGTTGGGGGGGGTAGGGTGGAGGGTGATGAAGAAGAAGATGGTGAAGAGCAGCAGGTGTAATGAGGAGGTTTATTCTTTCACTTTAATAAGCCTCGCGCAGAAGAAGCACCTCATAACCGAGCTGCACACTAACTCACACTAATTAAATATGACGCACGTGAGCACTACAGCAGCTGGAAACAAAACATGGCGGGGGGGGAGAGAAAAGTGGAAACAGGACTTCTAATGACCTGACGGCAGCGGAGGGAGACGCACCTGCCGCCCGCTGAGAATACACCGCGCGCGCTCCTCTGCACAGCACGAGAGACGCACAAAATCAGCTTTGGTGCTTGTTTCACTCGTGGACACACGCACGCACGCACGCGCGTTCTCTTCTATTTCTGAAAATAGCTGCGCAGAGGTGAGACCTGCGTCCATCTGTGGATAGTTTGTGCCAGCGGGACGGAGGGTGGGGTTGTGTGTGCGTGTGTTCCGGGTGTGTGTGCGTGCGTGTGTTTGTGTGCGAACCGGAGGGGAGTGGTTGTGGAGTAGGAGGCAGTGTTATTGTTGCTCCGGTCCTTCTTGTTGAGCGATGGAGAAAGATGAAAACAAAACACGAGCGCAGCATCCGGGGCGGAAAAAAAAAAGGCAGACGAGCCGCGCGGGCGCGTTTGGACACAAGTTAGTGCCGTGCACGCGCGTGTTTAGAGTAATAACAGTGGCGATAATGAACCGTGAAGTGGAGCCGGCTGGGTCAGTACCTGCATCACTGCGACGGACAGGGAGCAGCTCCTCTCTCCTCAAACATGTTCTCCCGCACATGCAGAGAAGGAG